AAACTTACGGGATATATCAGGTCCAAAATTACTCCTTAGTATTCTATAGATCAAAGTCATATCACCTCTTGATCTGTAGTACGACAGAGTAAAGAGGTCCGGCTTTTCAAGCCTCCCTTTCTATAGTAAACTTCGGAGTTCTATGATTGCATGGATAGCTATCCTCATTATGTTTTTCCGGAATATTCAAGTCATTCTTTAAACAGGAGATTGTAACCTGGATGCAGTTTACAAGCTTAGTTATCACCAAGGTTGTGTATACCGTAGTGAACATACCTATTTACAATTTTGTCCCCAAAGTAAATGTGGACTCATTTGCTCGCGTTGATAGACATCAGCCGTTTTAGACCAGCTAATCAGAATATCTAAGTCTGTCTGAATATATTTGTATATATGGTTCTAGAAGAAGAAAGTGAACTCTTGTAATAAAACGTATAAGACAATGTTTAAACCGGAGATTTAAGGGGAAACAAATAGTGAATACATTTGTCATCGTAACAGACCAAGAACCATGTTACCCATTATTTCAATCATTGATTACGAAGATTGTATGAGATTAATACTGAGGAAAAAGATAAATATAAACGGCATACATTTTTACGATTAGTATAGTGTAGTATCGACAGAAATTTTGATAAAATCTGTTTCGTAATGAGATACTCTTAGATTTTTTCGCTTCACACTATCTGATTATAGAATCTCTTAATAATCGCTAGCAGTAAGGATAAGAGTGGGCGTTTGGTCCAATCCGAAGCTTATCGTTTAAATATCTCAAGATCCTAATGCTATCGATTCTATGGAGATTCAAAACATTTATGACAAAACTATGAAACTACAATAATCAAACCGTCTTGCAAATTCTTTTTTTCTCGAAGATTTTCTCAAAACTACGTTCGTTTACATCCAGTAAACCACAACCCTTTTCATATTGCCAAAATTATGAAGTTGATTGAATGGCATATATTTCCCGGTAATCTCGAGATAGTTAGCTTAGATCTCAATATAGTTCAGTAATAGTCACGCTATGCTACTCCAAGTTATGATTATTATGTGTGAGTATTTGACGACAAAAGGGAATCGAATGTCATAAATTTAAATTTTATAGTTACCAACACTCATCAACAGATGTTGTTCGTTTGTGAATGATAACCAAAATGAAACCTATCTACAAAGTCTTCCATAATCGTAAAGTACAGTTTTTTAATCGGATGTAGTAAAACCACCATGTTGATCTACGACCCTATCTTAATACTCCATTCTTAAATCAAACACCATAGAAAGTTTCATCAATTGAATGTCTCCAGTATTAACTGAAGTACAAATTTACTTGTTAACTTTATTGATCAACAACGTGATGTTACATACCAATGAATACATGTGTACTTTATTACATTTCTTGTATATATGTATGTATGTGTTGGGGACGTTAGATCCCCTGAACTGACATGGAAAAAGACCTAATTTTGTAATTCCATTTAGAAAATTTGAATTTCTTTGTTTTCACGCCAAAAGCGCTCTTTTCACCTTCATGTTGTACTTCCCACTTGGGAGAATCTTAAATGCTATTGGTCCGTTGTGTTTTTTAGTATGCTATTTTGTAACGCTTCCCAAGGATGGTTTTGTGCTGTATATGTACGTTTTGATTTGTATCCGTTGTTATCTCTCGTTTTCTGGCTTCTTGTGGAATATACTTCCCTGTTCGAACTTCGACTTCTCTCTCTAGTTAGCGGGGCTCGGACGCAATAGAATAGCTATTTTGTTGGTCTTTGGTCATAAGTCTTTATTCCGTTCGCAGACTAAGTGAACTCGTAGCCGCTTCAAAGCTAGCAGTATGTATTTATGTGCTTATCGAAGTGCTATCGATATGTGCTTATGTAAGAACATGTATTTATCTTGGATCTGATGAGTTTTATCTATCGAAGAAAACCAATAGGCGTAGATATTTAAGACAAGTAACCACTACTCACATTAAACCTTTATTATCTCAATAAATTAAGCCTTAGAAAAGTTGAACAAAAAAATGTTCAACATCAATCTATTCAAACCTGATATTACTTCTACCAAAAAATATGTACTACTTAAATGATAATCAATTGAAAGGAAACCTTAAATCACTTTGATATACGAAATTATTACAGGTGCTTAGCAGTAAATGGCATGAAATTTCCCCTTACCCAAGAATCACAGAGAATAATATCAAAAAGACTATTTATAATTATAATTATTATTATTATTAATATATTCATCTGGAACCTCCATTATACATACATACTTGACAAAGATTGGGGCAAAAACACAGGAAGAGATAAACATCAAGAAGAAAAGTAAAAAAAAGTGTAATTCAAAGGAGGGAAAAAAACAGTAAGAATTATCGAAGTATATGCACTGTACGTAAAACATGTGACCCTGTTTTCCGGGGGTATATATATATATATAATGATCAAAGTCGTTGTTGCTGCTTACTAGAAAAATTACTTACTACTATTGTCAGTAATGAGAGTAGCATTAGTAGTATCAATCGTAGTTATTGTGTTAAAAGGATAAAAATAAGATCAACAATGAATAAAGCAAACATTGGTCCACCTTTTCTCAAGTTATTTCATTATAATCTCATGAAATATAACACATATCAAATGTTGTGAGTGTATGTATACAAATGAATGTAATAAACAGATAATGTGTGTATGTGAGTGAGTGTATACTCTGAATATGAATACCTCTCCAGACAATAGAGATGTAAAGAAAACCAAAGAAGTAGTTGTGAACTACGTTTTTTTTCTTGGAAAAAAAGGACAAATATGAATAAAAACAATAACGATAAGAAAACGACAAATGCATCATATAATTCATATATATATGTCTCTTTATCATCTGGTCTTTTGTGTCATCAGGGTGAGCTTGATTATTTGTTATGAAGAAATGATAGAACAGTTGAAAAGATCATCACCGTCATCATCAACATCATTATCGTGAACAATGAGAGAAATGAGAAAAAGAAATAATCGAAAATAGAGTTAAATTAAGGTGGTGGTGATGATGATGTTGATGTGTGTGTGTGTGTGTGTAAGTTTGATGGATATGTAATGAAATCAACAATAACTATTCCAGTCATATTAATACTATTACTGGTACTCTTGATACCAGTAATATGCATGCGTTATGGTAGTTTAAATGGAATTCATAATAGTTATTATTATTATTATAATCATAGCGAAACTCCTTTGTCACATTGTTCTCCTGTTTGAAATTTCTCTTTTTAAGTAAATAAATTAGAACATGATTGAACAAGTTGATCAGCTGATTAATTATGTAAACGTTATTAAAGGAAAGTTAACAATGATGATGATGATGGTAGTGATCGTCGTCGTAAGAATTTCTAACTAATTCATACATCCATAGAACAAATAAACTAGAGCATTTCACAGATAAATACAATAAATATAAAGAATTCAAGAGAAGAAATAGAAAGTCTTAACGATAGTGATCATGATAACGGTGGTGAGGAAAATTTATTAAAACCAAAAGTTATGATGACAATAGTACAACCCATATGTACCTACATGGACAAACAAGTACACAGAGTAATAATAATAATAATAGTAGTAGTAGTATGAGAACTTTGATATAGAGAAAAGAAGAAGAAATCAAGACAGGTAAAAGGAGAGAAGTGTCCTTCTCTTTGTTGTTGTTGTTGTTGTTGTTGTTGTTGTTGTAAACAAATGGCTACTACCAATTGTTACAAGTAAACAATATGCATAGGTATTAATAACCATTACTATTATGATACAATTTATACAATATTTGGTTTATTCAAATAAAATACACCTACATACATATACACACATAAAGAAAGAGAGTGTGTGTGTGCTCACAGGGGAAAGGTGTACACTTTTAAGATAGTAATAAAAGAGAACGAACAATTACACAAACATTCATTTGTCTCAAATAGAAACTAGATAGTAACAAAGTGCCCATGTCCCTCATAAACGCACACGCACACACGCACACAAAATAATCAGTTTAAAAACATTTTTCAATTGTTCTCGTCTTTCTTTTTGTTTTAAAAAAAATACAAGCAAAGTAATAATAAGGTACACCAAACAATGAAATAACCATAAGAATATGAGAATAGAGCTGCCATAGATTGTAAAAAGTTCACTTTACGACTTACTAATCAGTTAGTTCATAATTTTGTGCATCAGACTGTGTTGGTGAATCTTCGATTGATTGATTGAATGATTGGTTGGTTAGTTGGGTCCTTTGTCATTGAACAACATATAATAATGTAAAATGATAAGTTGTTCAATATAAAGGAAGGGGAACAAACGCGAAGAAGAAGAAGAAGAAGAAAAAAAAAGCTGAATATCAACAAGCGAATGAATGAATAGTTGTTTTTCAAAAACTCTATACTGGAAGAAAAGTGAACAAATATCATGGAATATCAAAAAGGAATTTATACATGAATCATGATAAAAATAAAATAATAATAATTCATATTAAACTAATGGAATAAATTAGTACATTTCTGTAATCTATATATAATATACTGTACGTCCTAGATCGTGATGACAGTGAAGATAAAGTACGAAAACAACAACAACAGCAACAATAATGGGAAGGATGATGATGATCATGGTGTTCAATGATAGGCATTGAAATACAAGAAAACAATTTATCTCGAAGAAATCATCATTAGTTAGTACATTAGAAACTTACACACACACACACACACACACTCATACATACATATAAATTAAAGAATAGGAAAACAGTGTATAGTGAAAAAGAAGTGATAAAATAAACAATAACGAAAAAAAAATACAAGTTTAACAACAAAATCAATATGACCATAGTGATCATAATCAATGTGGAATTTGTTTATTTGTATATGTATGTGTGTTGTCGTTGATGTTGGTGATCGAACTGTTTGTGTTGTTTTTTTGTTGTTGTTTATAGCCTAAGCTTACTTATTAATACATAATTTACAAAGTGAAGGATAACTAAAGGCAATCATGATCAATATTATTCACAACTGAAATAATATCAACATTATCATTATTATGATTATGATTATTATTATCATCATTTAGTCCCATGAAATCAGCTACACCGAATCGAACCGATTCTGTGTATTTACAACTTGTTGTTGTGGTAGTTTTAACAGTATTAACGGCAGTAGTAGTAGTAGTAGTAGTAGTAGTAGTAGTAGTCGTATTAGTAGTAGTAGAATCGGATACAGCTAAATGATCGTGCAACGCAGAACTGTCTAAATTATTTATATTAGTGAAATTGGTTACATCATTAATCATAGAAACAAGTGGACTTGACACACAACACACTACAGATTCAATATTAGATGATTTTAATAAAGATACTGGTGAATTACAACAAATTCGTTTAGATGGCGGTGGTTCATTGGGATTTCTTTCTGAATATTCATCGGATATAGTTTTTATTGGTGACGATAATGATAATACTGTAGATGGTAATGTGTTGGACAATGACGACGACGAAGAAGAATAAGAAGAAGAAGAGGAAGAACATTCCAATGAATGAGTACCAATAAACGAATTCATATTAATCGGCTTTGTATTGGATATTTCTACATTTGAAGAGGTAAGAGAGGAGCAGAGGGCAAATGACACTACATTAGAATAAGGCATTGAACAATTTGAATCATTTTGTAAATTGATCGGGTTTATTTTTGAAGAAACTGAATTGTCTGTTAGTGATGACAATGATTGATTAACGAACCGATTAGCTTCATTGGATGATAATTTAGATTGGTTTGAATTAAAATGATTTCCATCACATGTGATAGTAGTAGTAGTAGTAGTAGTGGTGGTGATAGTCTTAGTAGTACTAGTATTGACATTACATTTGTCAGATTGATTTGATTCACGTAACTGATTATGATTATTTGATCGACTTGTGGAATCAATTATATTGTGTGTATTCAACTGGGAACATACTGATGATGATATTGTCATACATGATGATGTTGTGGATAATTTAAAAGCTGATGAATCTTGAGACCAATTAGGATAAAATGTATTCATACCATTACTATTAGTAGTAGTATTATTATTCCACATGTCAATGGAATTCGGTTTATTAAAAGCAAATTCGGTATTGTTGTTAGCGGTAGTTGGTAGTCTAGATTCATTACAATTGGATAAACATTGACCAATGGTATGTGAATTTAATCGAGATGGTGAAAACAACACTGATGATGACGATGACGATGATAACGATGATGCTGTTCGTGGGGATGATGATGTTAGCTTAAAATTTAACTCTTCACTTGTTGAATTATTCAAATGATGATATGAATTTTTCAATGGAAACGGTGATGTTGATAAATCTAACATTGGATGATTTGAACGAGATGAAAGTGAAGGACTTATAAATGCTGAAGATTTACCGGTATAACAGCCTGGAATTGCATGATGTGGTTGGTTTAAGCGTAAACTGAAATCAGCTAATGATGATGATGATGATGTGAATGTACGTTCATTTGTTACATTATTATTAAAATTTATTGATGAACATAAGAAACTTGAAGGAAATGTATGAAATTTCGATGATTGGCTAGAAATATTTGACTGAGATGAATGCGCAGGACGTATAAATGGATCTATAAAATTAGCTAATCTTTGCCTAGCAAGATGATGAGTTGATGAATGATGAGTTCCTGTTTGTGGTTGTTGTGTTGTTGTTCCATTAGAAAATTCTTCTGGTTCCGCTTCCGAAATAAAACGTATACACTTTTTTTTACGACTAAAAATAAATAAATAGTAAAATGCTTAATACAGTAAAATAAATTTTGATCGAATGAATGAAATACAATTAGTGAATACAATTCGAATGGTTAAGCTGAAGTACCTAAAGCAAGATTCGAATCAATAACTCAAAGCTTGAAAGTTAAATATTACGATCATTTAGTACTAATCATTAGTGCATAGGGGCCATACCCAGAGCCTTCGACCTAAAGGTCTGATCCATAAGGCAGTGGAGCAATGTAAGGAGACGCAGTTTCACAGAAGCCAGTGAACAACGATTGTTTCACAAGCCATTTGTTCCCTCAAGATTTTGGAGCCAATGCGCACCATTATTTTGGAATCGGTGTTCTCCAAATCCCCTATGTAGACTTTCTGTGTCCACCAATCTGGTTAAAGCACCGAACATTCAGTTTTGGTCTTTTCAATTTCGTCAGCAATACCCCTGGTGCAAGAAGGCAGTGAGTAGGACTTCCCATGCAGTGAATATATGCACGTGCCTACATGAGAGCATTTCAAGAGAGATAACTAACTCTCCCCACTCTCAGCCGTACCAGGGCATTTGGGAGCCATTATTCATTTAATATCTTTCATCAAACTATGATAAACATGCGAAGTTAATACGTCAAACCTATTCTACATACTTTTTGTATGAACTATTGTTAGTTATCACATGGTACATGTAATAGCTTTTATGATCAGTTTAATTTATTCAGAGCCTAATGCTCTATCACTTCAGACCTACATATAATCTTTCCCACATTTTCTCTCTCTTCTTTTTTTCTAATTATTATTCTTCACTACTACTGATGTACTATTTATAAGTAATACCATCCATATATAGTTAAGATTTATGTTAACTCGTTGCTTCATACTGTGAATTAAATTACTTCATTCATTCGTCTCGTAAGAAAATCAATGATTTGAGCTACACAATAAAATTTCTATTGGATTAGAAAATTCAAACTGTTTTACTGTAGCATTTGTGGTACACCATTAGTAACGTATTAAGGAGTAGTATATCATTAGTAGTGTACTAAAGAGTAGATTATTCAATCAGAACTTATTAGGAATTGTAAATTGTGAAACTAAACAATTGTAAAGTATATAACCATGTGTTACTGGGTAAATTTTGAATAGCATATTGTTTTAAAGTAAATTTCTTGAAATTGCTAAGTGAATCATGGATTCACATTCTGGAACACTACATTTGATATGGAAGGATAAACATGAATCTATAATTGATCAAGAAGTTATATTAGTTTTTATGAAAACTGTGTTAGGACCTCAGTTTTACCCAGTAGATTAATTATTGCTTGATATGATGAAAAGAAAAGTCAGTTTATGATTGAATTACTCATGATGAGTTTTATTCAATATTCAACATCCGTTTGGATTGAATGTAATGATTAGTCAATGTAGTATTTGTTTCCTTTTCCCAGTATGATATTTTCTTCTGTATAACATACGATATTCTTGTATTCAGTTGACATGAACTATGCTCAGTAAGTGATTTGTTATAACTAAGTATGTGATATAATCCTAATTATTAATCAAAATGGGTGTACAATCATTATATAAACCAGTATATTTGAGACTATTTTTGATTCGTCGTCGTCATTGTGTTTTGGGGCTAATAAATCTTCTTTTATACCAGTCTTTGCGTTCTTACTTTCGCGTCGTGGGAATTACAAAGGTCTCTCGTTCCAAGTATAAGTGATCAGCGTTTTTTTTTTCGGCACAGCAATCAGCGACGACCGAGCATAACACATTTTTGAAAATAATTTAAAAAATCCATACTAAACCAAACAAATATTTCCGGTTTGTAATGGTTTGAATTATCCTGTTGTTGATATATTTCGACTGAAATTTGATCAGTCTTAGTTGGCATATGTACATCCTGTGCGGAATGCCTCACTCAATATAGCCTTTATGATGCACATTTATGTAAAAAAAAAAAAGAAAAACGGCGGAACATAGCTAGCAATGGAATAGACAATGTGTATCTTGATCAATTTTAGACTCGTAAACTGGATGTACCTAGATTCGTGTTGATGTTCACAGTGGGACTCGGACCTAGTACCGTTTGCTTCAGACACTAGCGAATTATCCACTTAGCTACTGAGTACAGATAGTTTCTCATTGGTGCAACGAGTATAAGTTTTAATCTAATTTGTATTGGTTTGGATTATCCTGTTGTTGATATTTTGAGACTGAATTTCGATCTACCTTAATTGCAGGTACATCCAGCTGAGCAGTCCCACATAGGATGAAACGTGCGTCTTAAATTCAACTGCTAGCCACATTTTGTCCATTCTATATAAATATATGTGGTGTTGAAAATTATTTGATTACCGAATGTATATGTTGAGCTTTACGAACAGAACAAAAACGAAACTGGATATAGAACACAAAACCTACCGACACGGTTTACACCACATATTCTGATGTTCCAAACCAAATCTAGCACGACATTTTTTCAAATTCCCACCGGACAGTTCACTTGCAGTCATAGCTACCGCTGCTGCAGCGGCAGCTACCGCCGCCACAGTAGTTGAGACGGCTGAATGAGATGAATGATTATTTTTTGTAATTGTTTTGGCATGACTATCTGATGTCGATGATGGTGGTAATAGATCAGTCATACATCTTGAAGAATTATGATGCTTATTACCACCACCACCACCACCACCGTTAAGACCGAAAGTAGACATCAAATGTGAAGGTAATGAACCAGGAAAAGTTGGAAAGTGATTAGAAGACATTGATGAATAGGATAAATGATCTAAATGAGAAGAATATCTATAACCGGACTGATAACCAGTCGGTGTTATTGAATGTGATGGATGTCTATTTTCATTGTCTACTGATGATGACGATGATGATAAATTAATCATCCCGGTGAATCTAGGGGATAAAAACGAATGATCTTTAGAATGTATTGATTTGTTATCATTCAATGCGGATGACAGAGAAGAAGGATAGAATGCAGATGATGTATCACGTTTAATATTTATATCAGAATGTAAAAATGGATAACCTGTGGAATGATGAAATAAATTTGATACATCATGATTATTATTGTTATTAGTATGATAAGCATATTCATTTGGGATTAAATTCATAGATTCATTGTATAATTTATTTAATTCACGATCTCGATTACAGAATGTAGTTGATGAAATAGAAGATGTAGTATTGATGTTAGGTGTAGCTACAATATTAGCAGTTAAAACTGTATTCATATTTGAATTTAAGTTAAGTTTAGATTTCCTATTGAAATCACGTATAGTTCGAAATTTATCTGATTCATTATTACCATTATTCATATTAATGGTAGGGACATGAGGAAATAAACAATAACCTACATCAATATTGGAACGATGTTGATGACCAATATTATTCATTGTTACCTTGGATTCATTGTAATCATTTTTTACAGAGTATTCAGCAACATATCGATCATTCTTAACAATATTATTATTATTTTCATCATCAACACTATTCATAAATGTTTTATAATCGATAGAATTTACATTCATTGATTTTACATGCTGTCTTACTTCACCTAAGAAATTACAACCATCTTCTTCCTTTATAGTTGTAATAGGATCTAGTTTAGTGAGATTAGAATTAATTTGTTTAGATAATGTTAATGATGATGACAAAGAAGATGATGATAATGATGATGAGGTGGTGGTGGTGGTGGTGGACACCAACGATGATGATGACGGTGATGAGATGGATGGTGCTGTAAACGATTGATTTTGTTTTCTACACAATGGTGAATTTGATGTTAAAGGGCTTTGTTGATGATTAGATGAGAATTCTGAAATAGTAGTAACAGGATGTATAGATGAAGGAAGATGTGGAGAAGAGCATTTACTACCACTACTACTACTATGATGATGATGGCGTTGATGATGACGATTAACAATATCATCTGATAAATGATCAGTTTGTATTTTTGAACCATTTATTACCATTGAAGATAATGAATCATTTGAATGAGTTTTATTATTTACAGAATGATCAGGAATACATGAATTACGTTTTTGTTGATTACTACCAATATCTAATGGAAATGATTTATATCCATTCCATTTATCCAATGAAGTGTTTACTTTAGATTTATCCATCATAATAGTTGAATCATTCAATAATAATAATGATGATGATGATGATTTTTCATATAAACGTGTATTCATTATTGATTTATTCATATGACGTGTTCCACGAATATGTAAACCATGTTTATGAAATAATTGTCGTCGACGTTTACGACGTCTAGCATGATATGCATAATTATCACGTGCTGACCAATTTGGATATAATTGTTGATGTAATTCTTTTTCATGTCTAGCCATTTCATAATATTTTGTTTGTTCTTCTCTTGTTAATTCATGCCATTTTTTACCTAATACTTGATTAATTGCAGCAGATTCTTTTAAGGTACATTCTTCTTGTACACGTGAACGCATTTCTTTCATAAATAGCATAAATGCATTTAATGGTTTTTTAATATGTATACCTTTAGATAAACATGAAGATGTTGTTGTTGTTGCTGCTGATGATGATATAAGATTGGTAGTCATTTTTCTCTTTAAAGTTCCTTTACAATGATCTAAAGATGATTCTTCATTGATTATTACATCATCATTACTATTATTATTATTATTACGATTATGAATGTTAGTAATTCCCGATTTTGTTAAGGCTTTTACAAAATCAAAACTTCGACGATCACGAGATCTAAATTAATGGTAAAACATTCGAGAGAGAGAGAAAAAAAAGAAATACTATTATATTGACTACCACTTAAAATGAACGGTCATGCTTGGTAAATTTAATTTTAATTATTAAACTATTTATAAGTTATTAGAGTAGTAAATGTCTTAAACAGTTAATTTTTAGATTTACAAAATTTGTGAATAGTTACAGTTGGTAGGCAAGAGCATCTCTCCAAATGGCTCCTTAATATGATATTTAATGTATGAATGAATATAAATAGAATACTATATGATTTAAAATAAATAAACGACTGTTATACTAAAACAGTTTATATCAAGGACAAACTTTAGTTAGATAATCATGCAACAACATAATAGGACAACCGATGACCCCTTCCTCGAAGGTCGAACCTAGGACCACCAGGCTTCACAGAGAACATATTAGTTTGTGTTGATTAAACTGACAGAAAACAGTCTACATTTCGAATTTCAATGAAGTTGCAACCTTGCTGTAGCTAAAATATATCAGGAGAATGAACTTATCATTTCATTTCTTCAATACTAAGTGTAATATGATGTTGTAATAAATCAGATTGATTTAGTGTTCCACACTAAAATTTCGACAAAATTGTCAAGAATACCAGAGAACTAAAATTGTCTAAAACTTAAGATATAAAATTGTCGAGCACAAAGTTTGAAAATATTTATTTTGATACAGAGAGCAGTTGTTTAACAGTGGTTATATGAAATACTCAGGCAAATTTTGTCCTACAGTGAATGTGATCTGTAGAGATTTCAATTAAAAATCAATATGTAAGTATCCAGTATAAGCATTTTAATGAAGAATGTTGATTGACCAAATGGTTGTCGACTATCGTTGAGCAATTGACTAATGAGATAACTCATATTGGTTCTTATCATATCATACTGTCTAATGTTATCTCTTCGTATTTAAGGTATACAGCCTATATGAATTCTCTATACAAAAATTCCGAACAAAATACGGTTTTTTGAACTAGATGTTACGATGAACTAGGGTTAGATAGTTTTTGATATGGGTTAGATCAAATACTTTGTAAAACGACCAGGCAGCAATATTGTTATTATTGAGAAACTTTATGATATAACTAAAAGTCTTGGCATATTGTCTTAGGAAGGTATCTCGTTTAAAACGAAAAACATCACATTCTAACGATAACAGTATAACCTGGACATACACATTCATCTATGGGAATCCGTTCACTTACATAAAGTAGACGGGTTACGGTTAAGAAACTACGGGTTCAAATCCAATCAATCTACTTTAGGTAACCAGGTATTATGTTAGCATTAGACTCCTTCCAATACAATTGTGCGTACATAATTAGTGTGTTTCAGAGTGGATTACATAAACATGTACTTAGCAGAGGATCAGTTTCCTTCTATATGATGATATATATAATTTATAGACTGAAACGATAGTACTATTAAGATCACGAACCGATCTACGTTACACAGATATTTAAAGCTTAGAAGTAGTGGGAGACCGTTTCGTTCTAGTATTGTGGGAAGCCTCAACAGTGCACATAAACGACTACACGTCTGAAAATCGAACCCGAAACTTTCAACGTTGCTTACAAACGACCGTTTAGTGCTTTCAGGTTTTCAATGGTTGCCTAACTTAGATCGCTTCGCGATCAACAATTTCCACAACTCTGTACTGACAATTATAATAGTCATAGGATAACTAATACTATCTCTCAGTCTAAAGTGTACATCTCTGTCAATGACATTTATAGTTAGGAGATAAATAAAATCAGAACTGTTTCATTGCCATTCCTATAGCTGTCAACCAAACAATAACAATTAACACGAGTCACTCTTTACAGAGATGGTATTCAATCAAAACGGATAAACACATACGTACAGAGATACAATAGACATAAATTATATTTATTATTTTAACGCTGATAAATCAAGTTTTAGAAAAACAAAGGGATTTTATTTATTGACAGGCTATCAACCAAGTTGCCTTCAAACTTTCTATAATCATTATCATTTTGAAAACAAAACAATTATAATTACAACAATAGATAACTGATCTTTCCCTTTTTCGCCAGTTTCTTCCCACATACACACACTTCCCCATTCTATCTTTCTTTTTCCATTTCTCATCGTTAAATTGAATGCTATCCATCAAATAATAAATTTGCCACCTGTCTCATCTCAATAATCTATGGTAATATATCACTCATGCGCCCCACACACACACACACACAAATGAATGGATAAAACAAATAAATAAATTGTTAAAAATGAATAATAAATTGGTAGAAAACGACAACGGCGACGGTAGGAACAGAACAACTTCTGTAAGACGACTGTCTTTATTGTCAAGCTTCATTAAATAGATTAGTCTATATGGTATATAGTTCATGTACGTACATATACATATGGTAGGGAATAAACTATATGGCTCCCACAATGTACTCGTTGTTTGTTTTGGTAATCGTGTGTGTATGTGTGTAACAAATAGAGAAGGGGGTGGAATAGTGAAAAGATTAAAAACAAAGTCTACGAAAATATTTCAAAGAAAAAAAACAGAGGAAAGAAGGCATCGAAACAATACATTTAAAATCTATGCTTAATTGAATGAAAAAAAAAGTCGACTACAACAAACACAAATACATGCGGATACATACGCACACACAAGTATGTACATTGATATAAAAAACGGAAACGAATATTTATGGTAAATAGGGGGGAAAAAATAAAGACATCTTGTCTAATTTAGATTATTAATTCATCAATTTCATAGTCACCATTATTTATATCATATTAATAAAATAATCTATTCGAAATTTGTCATAGAAACTTAAATCTATAGGCTAACCAATTCATCAGTAAACTACACACACACACACACACATACGCCAATATATATATATATATATATATATATATATATATATATATATATAAGATTTTTCCCGACTCAAAAACAAAAACATCCATTCTTTTCCTCCATCTCTGTCGTACACACACGAATTCCAAACTGAACAGAATTAAGAGAAAATGAAAAGGAGAATAATCGAAGAAAATAAAAATGATACAGAAAATTGAAAATGAGAATGATTTCTCAATGAGAGATAATATCATGATGTAGTCTTTTTAGATGAATTGCTTTTTTGATCAAGTAAACATATTTAACAATATTATATTACTGAATAAAAAGAAAGTAGTATGATCTAAGAGTTATTTAAGAAGATATATGAATACATCGGAAGGGGTTTCTTGTGGATATTGTAGTAATTTCAATAGTTGAGATCATGAGTCACCATGGAAAACCTGAAAGCACTGGATGGCCGTTTCGTCTTATTGTGGGACTCCTCAGGTGATGCACATCCACGATCCCGCCTCAAGAGATTTGAACCCTTCTGATATCAAACAACATATACTCATTAGTGACTGGCTTCAAGAGGTATTTCCTGGAATTCTAGTGAGAAGCAGTGACCAGTGGAGTTCAACTAGGTCTGTTGTGAGATAGTAACTTATTGAAGATAATAGCGTATGTGTGGCTCAATTTCGTGGATTAGTTGAAGTTACACAATAACACCATTGGATGCCGGCCGGCTCAGTGGTCTAGAGGTCAGGCATTCGCGCGCAAGACTGATAGGTCCCGCGTTCGAATCTCGTGAGGCGAGATCGTGGATGTGCACTGTTAAGGAGTGCCACAATAGGACGAAACGGCCATCCAGTGCTTTCAGGTTTTCCATGGTGGTCTGACCTCAATTGACTCATGACCTTAACTATCGATATATACATATATATGTTTAGATAGTAATTGGCAGTGAAATGCAGGATGTATGTTTCACCCTAGTTTAGAATTGTCAGTTGAATGTGCTTGTAATTAAATGTATTCATGTTCACGTTAAGACTCAAGATCAGTGAGAGTTGTTTCAAAATTCAACATGTCATCCACAGTGATTGATCAAAATTCAGTTATGAATATTAGCTATAAGAAAATACAAATGTTTTCAAACAATTAAAAATAAATTCAGTTTGTCCAAGTTTCTCACATCAAAACCATCTTATCAGATAAAAGCCTATTGTTCTTGATTTCTCTACTTTAATCAAAACTCCATGTTAAACTTCATCACTATACACTTGACAGCTCCATTATATATGAGAAATGTAACTCTGTTTTAATTTAAACAAATATAATTATCATCAAAGTGTAGAAGAATATAAACGCAACAATATAAGAATCTCTTACCTTGAACTAAACAGATGATTTCGACTAGACCATAGTCCAGGAGAATTAGTTCGATCTAATGTATTATGTATATTAGTGTTTCTTCTTCTTCTTCCTACTCCACTACGACCACTAATACTATCATTATCACCTCTGGCAACAGCAGAAACAGATGATAATTCTGAAGATGTTGAATTACCAATCATAGCACTCGCAGCTACAGCGGCTACTACCGCTGCTGCAGTTTGCTGACGTCTCCAAAGACTGTTTGATGCTGAATTATTATTATCATTACTATTATTATTACTGTTATTATCTCTATTTTGAATTGATGATAACGAAGATGTCGACAAAGAACCGAATTGTACAGTTGGTGATAAATCGGATAAAGAAATAACTGACGATGATGAAGATGTTGATACTGATTTCATTTCTCTGATAGAATCTTCAAATGTGAATTCATTATTCAATGAAGTTGTTATACATGGTGTTGATGGAGCTGTATGTACTGAAGACGATGACGATGATGATGACAAATTTGAATTGAACGTAGCAGCGGCTGCTGCTGCGGATAATAACTGCATATGTGCAGCGGCTGCGGCGGCAGCAAACATACTAAGTTAATAAATGAATCAATGAATGAAGGAAAAATGGGTATAAATACTACAACCAATGACCTTTACATAATCTATTATAATAATACTAGAATAATAGTGGAACTCAATTTATTCATTTTTAATGTTCCTTTATAACAGAATTATCAAAACTAGTGTATCACTTATATTTCGAGAAATAACAAATTATTCTTAATGGAATAGAAGTAGTAAATTATCAGCTAAATTGTATCCTATTACATAAGGTATTGATTGCACTAGAAAGATGAACTTATCACAAAAACGGAGTGTGTGCAACCTGTTTCAAATAGATTTTCCTTTAGATCTATAGTAACAGTCCTAGGTTATCGAGATTACCAATTTCCTTTCCAACTTCCTCAAGAAGAATAGTTTTCTCTCACCTTGGTGGTAACCGAAAAGTGATAATCACACTCATACCTCTAACAGTATTCGACTGATTAAGCCTCAACTACCAATTGCAAACAGAGTCAATATCAATAAATAATTTATAGCTTTTATTGTGTTTTGTTCTTGTATTACAGTCAGATATTCATTTCATACAATAAATACCAGGTATATTTAATGTTATTACTAGCAAAACATAACTAACTGTTAAGACAGCATAAACATTAAACATGAAGAAAAAGCCTGATTTTAGCAAGAAAAGTAGACTAAGACTTCGTTTTGATTTGTTTCGCTTTTTCAAATTCATTATGAACACGACTTACCTAGGAGAATAAGGACTAGCAGCGGTAGAGTTAGTTGAAGTAGACGCTCGACTACTACTGTAGTTGTTATTATTATTCGTATTATTATTATTACTATTATTATTTTCACATCTATGATACAATCCAGCTGGAGATAATGATGAAGTAGTCAAATTGCTACTATTTGCTTTCGGTGATGGTACCATACCGCCAATACTATTCGGTGATTTCACCGATTGTAAATGATTGAAAAGAGCTGATTTATTAATTGATCCAGATGGACTTAATGGAAATAATGTATTATTATTATTACTAATAGAAGGACATGGTGAACTTTGATGACTGTTAGAGGATGTGAAATATTGTTGAGATTTATTGGATGTTTTTGGTGAACTTGTACCACTCCAAGATGCTACTGCTGCGGCTACAACTGCCGCTGCTGCTGCACAAGCTGCAACAGCATAGAAATTCGACGATGTTGAAGGAGATGAATCATGTTGAATAGATCCATTAGGTAGTGATAGTGATGTTGATGTTGATGATAATGGTGGTGGTGATGAGGATGAAGATATTTGCCCATATCCTTCTAATAAACGACTAGTGTGTAATGTATTTAAAAGTTTAGGTGAATCGATTGGATTGTCAAACGAATGATAACCTTTAATAATGTAAGCATAAAGTAAATAGATTGTAAGATTTGGAAATAAGAAAAATACTAAGAGATATAAATGATAATTAGTTATACCTTAGTATAAGATTGAAATTAGTGACATTAGTGTTTTAAGGTTAATAAACTAGAGGATTTCGATTGATAATTAATACATTATAAATGAAAGTAGGATATAGCAGTTAAATGAACTAATTTTCAATGATTGAATAACTAAAGTAAATCTTCTCTTATCTTCCATAAAGTTTAAACAATCAACTTACGTTCGTAGTTAATTAAATAAATTTGACTGATTCGTCAAAACTATTGTATATTAACTTATAACTAAGTAATGTAAATATATTTGGGGGGGAAGGTTCTTTTCTCTACTTTTCTTATGAAATATCTAAAGGTTCCTATGCTTTGATTTCCAATTGGATCGTAAGTGATCACTATTGGAAAGTTCCAAATATGGACGACGACGACGACAACAACAACAACAGAAATAAAGAAGCTGTTCAAATACTCCTTTTTTTCTGATTGGCTCTCTATAGACTAATCATTATCAATTAATGAGTACTACTGTTTAAACTGAATCCATTACACTATTTATGATTTCGTTGAAATTCTTAGTTACAAGTGAATTTAATTAAACCCTTACAGGTAAAAAAAACTAGAAAGAAAATACAATATTAATTCATTAGAAAAATTAATAAAGAAATTTGAACTAAGAAAACTTAATGACAAAACCGTCCAAAGTGATTTCGTATCACATCAGTTAATGTTGTCTCAAGTTGCACAACTAATTTAAGTGATTGTCAGTATGGAGTTGTGGAGATTGTTGAGTTTTTTTTATTGAGATCATGAATCGAACGATGTCAAATCACCATCGGAAACCTGGAAGCACTGAACGGCCATTTCATCTTAGTATGAGACTCCTCAAAAGTGACCAGTGGAGACAATCTGTATCAGGTAGAGACAGATATCTACCTCAGACAATGGAAGATGGTTTCATGATTTCGTGGTTTGGTTGAAGTTAGAGATTAACACTGTTAGATGCCGACTAAGCGGTCTAGAGGTTAAGCGTTCGCGCGCAAGGCCGAAGGTCTTGGGTTCAAATCACATGTGAGGGATCGTGGATGGGTACCACTGAGGATTCAGATACTCGGACGAAACGGCCGTCCAGTGCTTCCAAGTTTTCGATGGTAGTCTAACATTGATCAATTAATTATCTCAACCAAATACTTCAAGTGAGACAACAGCTTTATTATTATTATTATTATTATTATTATTATTATCATACGGTTTAAACTGTATACAGTGAAAATGTATACATGTAAACTTTTGTTGAATCATTATTTCTACTGGAAAGAGTATAGAACCTACTAGTGATAGTTGCTTTCGACTATCGTTTCATTTGATTCTCGTATGAATTAAAACATCTTTTGATAGACACAGATTTTGGACAACATAAGTCTAGGCGTCATTTTCAGTATAGGTAAGTGGATTTTTTAACAACAAAAAATGTTTCTCATAGTTAATATTAGTTTCAAGTTCATTTACAAGATATACACATAGATAACAGAAATAAAGAGCATGATATGTGATGTATAACTTAATAAGGAGTACATCATGTTACTTTTTTTAAAAAAAAGAAGATACAAACAAAATTATAATCAGAGAGGGGTTTTATGGAGATTACAGTAATTTAATAATTGAATTCATTAAACCACCATGGAAAACCTGGAAATACTAAGCGGCCGTTTCACCCTAATATGGGACTCCTCAGCAGTGTGCATCCACGATCCCTCCCCGCTTAACCTTTAGACCATTAAGCCGACATCCAAAGGTGTTAATGTCTAACTTAAACCAATCCACGAAGTCGCGCCACCGTCTACAGGTTAAGCGTTCGCAAGAGAAACTGATAGGTCCTGGATTGGAATCTCGCAGGGCGGGATCATGGATGCTCATTGCTGAAAAGTCCCATACTAGAATGAAATGGCCATTCAGTGCTTTCAGGTTTTTCATGGTGGTCTAGCTTCAATTGATTCATGAATTCAATTATTAAATTACACACAAAATTACTACAAAAACAAGGATGAAAGAAAAAAAATCACAATAATGATAAATAATTTTTGAGTGTTCAGTCAAATCAAATCCTAATTTATATACATCAATCAGTCAATCGTTTGTAGGAAATGGAATTTAATTGTCAATACTAAGATATGATAATAACGACGAGACTATAATTTATGGACAAATCAATCAGATATAAGATGATAGGTCTTGGATTTTGGCGCGAAATTCACTCATCCATTTGGTTAACTAGAGTTTGGGCATCTTAGTTGATGTCAGCTAGTGGTAGAAACCCTAAGCATCAGCTGTAAATTCCGTGTGTATATTATGACTTTTAGTGTTAGTTAAACAAGTTGATCAGTATACTTGTGTTATAATTTCTCTTATTACGACCCAGCTACTCTTATTGCTTAGTAATCTTGGACACTGCTTCAGTCGATAAGTCACCAAATCAGAACACGGTTGTACAAGAATGTAATTATAATTCAAATAACAAGGGTGGATGAAAGTAAGAATCACAATAAGAAAAACGTTAGTATATTTATAATTTTTACATAAGATTCTAGAATATTCTCCAAGTATCCGCTAGCGCGTATTGGTTAAGAAATAGTCATTCAGCTTACCCTAACACAGTCCTGAACGAAACATGCTTTAATCCAATCTATATCCCGCTAACACCAGTACTCAGAGAATACTATTATAAAATTTCAGGTATGAATAGATAGTTTTGAAGCGTAGTTAAACTACTTAGTAAGAATGCATCCATTTATACAATGAACTTCAAGTCATTTTGTGGTATTTAAACTATTCTTATACTACTTAGTTGTTCTAAATTAAGAAGTAAATGAAGTATTTCATGAATTTACTGACTGTTTGGCTGAACCACAGAAGAAGCTCGATACTACCTGAACGGAGTTTGTGTGATGACCACAATCAGTGGTTGGAGATGTTAACTGACATGGTTAAGAATTAGTTACAATGACTCAGATGTACTCACTTTTTATCTTCCTCTAGGTATTGAATCCCAATATTTCTTCGTACGTACCGTATTGCTTCGTCTTTTCAAACCACATTCTCAATGTCGTGTCCCTTTTGTTATCATTACAACTAAATTATTTCAGTCACATTCCCTATCTTTCTTCTGATTTCCATCTCATCCTGCTAATATAATATGGCAACTTGGATCAATTCACATATGTGCCATGCTCTATGTTGATTATGATAGACTGATGAAGCGAACATTTGACAGCTTACGACTTAGTAGTTAAAAGTCAAGTAAATTAACCATTAAAGCCTCACTCTCCCACATAACCCCATCATGTTACGAATATCAATACCGAGTTACTTGAAAATGGCCATAATGATAATAATAGTAATAAACACACTTACGAGATGTCGGCAATGGTGACTGACTATGCTCTCGTACTGAAAGTCCAACTGTTGATTCTATGTCACGTGGGTAATTTAACATATTCATATTATTAAAGGACAAATCTTTCGAGTGACGAATACATTGTTGATTATATGATGATGAATGATGGGTCTGATAAGCATTAGTGTATAGTGATGATGATAATGATAATTTATTGGATTTATTCTCATTTATACAAGTAACGGTATTAACAGAATTAGTAGAAATACCAGGTATATTGGTAGTACAAGCATTATCATTCCTGCTATCGATTGAATTCTTATAGTTTTTACAATTTTCTAAACTTATATCAAAATTGCCCATCGTAGTATGATTTCGACTGTTTGCTGGATATTTTGAACCGAACTTTAAAATGTCACCATCATGTTGAACAGTTGTTTCATGTGGAGATTTTTGAGAAAAAGCTGCTGCTGCGGCAGCCGCCGCCGCTGCCGCAGCAGCAGCCGCTGCACCACATCTGAATGAATCATAAAATGGTATAAATCCAAACGGATTAGGAACACATGATGGGAACTGAGTAGTCTGTAATCAATTAAAATAATAACAATAAATGATGAAATAAAGAAAAACAAAAACAATGAGAGAAAATGAGGAATTGGAATTTCAAATAGCACGGCAGCTCTAAATTGTGTTACTTCTTGTTCGTTTGTCAGTATGAATTAGGCAACGGTTATATAACCCGGTTTCAAGTCAGATTGTTTGCATTAAAGTAAGTATCGTCACCACTACTACTAATAATAATAATAACAGTAATAATAATATCGAAATGTCAAAACTGAACTAGGCAGGGTCCAGCTTAAATACGGAGTCTATTAGTTGAAACCCTAATAAGTATCAGTTTTACTTCAGTTAAATAAGATGAACACACACATTCATGATTAAATACCATACTGATCTAATGGTTAGGCGCTAGTCGGGAAAATTGCATGCTGTGGGCTCAATACACTGTGAACTGATGGGAACGCAGTGCTGAGAAATTTCATGCTGAGAGGATACAACTGTCCAGTGTTTCATGATTTCAAATGGTTACTTAATCAAAATCAATGTCCATGATGTAAACTACTAAAGTCAGAAATTTCTACAAACCGTCTATACTAAAAATACATAATTATTCTATAAGTAGAATTTAAATATGAACTGCAAACGAAACAAATTTTCAAATCTGGTCGGTGAATGACACAAACGTTGATGAAGTCAAGAACACTACCGAATAGATAGAGTTAGGTAAAAAAAAAACCAAGCTCATGACAATAATATTGGTAACAGCTACTTCATTTCATAAAATGTATTTACACAAACCATCCAGCTCGGAGAACAAAACTCCACCAAAATCATCCACCTGAGTTACAAATCTTCCCCACCGTAACAAAACACAAAATTACAACATGTAGGAACCGAGAGTTGATTGAAATAGAGATTAAGAGAATATGAAATACTTGAAAGGATGATTTGTATAAAAAGAAGACTAGATTATTAAGGAATTACAGATAACAATTATTATGAAGATGAAACCAGATGTAGTGTGATTAAAAATATGAAAAATTACCAGATAATTACTCTGCTAAGTTGAAACTTAAATATATTGCAAGAAGTTTGAAGGTATTGTTACATTCTAGGATTTACGGCATGAACTCATTTTATTGAGGCAATTACTGAAAACTAGGAAACACTAAACAGACGTTTCATCCCAGTATGATACTCCTCAGGAATGTGTATAAGTGACTCCAACGTTATCGAATCCAGGTCTCATAAAGAATGAGTAACCGTTTGATCACTGGAGTTGTAATCCTGTGGTTTACATTTCTGAATTAGATCGATTAACGATATCTTTCAATCCTATTGATGGATAACTAACTCTCATACACGATAAGATTGAAACCAAATGATCAAGACTTTCCACTAGAACTCTGAGAATTGTTCCGTGGTTCAATATTTCCTGATTTTCAATCACTATTTAACAAGGATCAGTTCGTCATCTAAAGTCCATAGACATAATATGAACATAATACTATTAAGCCACCGAATTAAAATGTAACAGTTCAAATTTTCCACTTCAATCACTTTGTGATACAGAGAGATCTAAATCCCAACATAATATCAGTGAGTCAATGACACAACCAACTTGGTCCATTTCATAGAGTAGAAGAAATATTATTAGCTAAACAGCTTGACCGTATGCAAAGATTTTGCATAATTTGAACGATAATTTTCATTTTAAAAAATGACAAAATATTCTTTTAAAAAATCATTCATCTTAATCATGATGTACATTTTGGAGAGAAAAAGTCACAAACAAGTTAATTATCATCTCTATTTATTATTTATTTATACCCATAAACATTGGTACAAGAAGGCACCAAACAGATATGTGCCACATAAATTATTCGATTTACGAGAGGGCTGGGATACTACCCAGGTGCCCCAACCGAAACAGGTGGTTTACTTGAGGGGCTCCACTCAGAGCCTTCGACCTAGAAGCCTGATCCACAAAGCAGTGGAGCAATGTAAGGAGATGTAGTCCCGTGGTAGTCGGTGAGCGACGATTGGTTCATACGCCATTTGTTCCTTCAGGATACTTGAGCCCATGTACACCATTGGTTTGGGGGCAGAGTTTTCCAACTCCCCTAAATGGACTCTCTGTATCCACCGTCCCAGTCAAAGCACAGAATATTCGCTTTTTGTTTTCTCAATTTCGTAAACAACACCCTTGATGCGGGAAGGCAGTGAGTAGGACTTCCTTAGCAGTGTTTGTAGGCACATGGTCATGTGAGATCATTTCTAGAGGGATAGCTGACTCTGCCCACTCTCGGCCGTACCAGGGTATCCCCATAGTTCACTCTCAATTCCTATTTTAATCGCACATTATTTTGTAGAGAAAAACAAATCAACAAATGAATTCTATGTATATCATTTAACCTGTAGGTAATTAATTACGTTAACTTGATGTATGATACAAAAAAGAGACAAGAGAATTTAGGTATCCATAAATTATGCCTCTCAAATTCTGATGAATATATACACATAAATATATATATATTCTTTCCAAAAAAGAAACAACCGAAAACAAGAAGCCAATATTATCTCTCTGTGTGAGATTTATCATGTACAATTAACTGAAAATAACAATTACCATCATTCAAAAATAATTATCAGAAATGATCAATTACTAATAAGATAAATATGCATTATCTACCTATCTATCTATACTATTACTATTACTATTATGATTATTACTACTATTGAACATCGACATTCATATCACCGTCAGAAGAGTTTCATAAAATTAAGAAGAAAAACAAAACTGGTTAAAAAAGTATAATCAATCTGATTGTTAATTTTCTTTTTGGGGGGGGAGGGGAGAGAGGGTTAGGGGAGGGTATGTATAGAATTCATGTCAACATAAAATAAGATAGAGACGACAAAATATCATAATGTAATTTAATATATCCATCAGTGTATTCACTACATAACTGTATATATGTATATACATGCACTAAATATGAATGTAAAATGTTCATTGAGCGTATACACATGTGTAATAATACCACCAATGGTAATACATAATGATTAACTATCATAACAACAATAATAGTACTTATACAGATTGACTATAATAAAAAGAGAATATAGGGAAATGATATTGTATCTGATTAAAATTATCATTATTTACTTGATAATACAGACTGACTCATAACTGTTTATATTTTTATTTACTAAATTATTTGTTTGTTTGTTTTTTTTCATGTTTATTTATTTACTTTTTATTCTGTCACTTACTCTCTCTCTCGCTCGCTCGCCCGCTCGTAAGCTCATGAGCTTGCTCACTCACACTCATGCCCTCAATCGCTCACTTGTTTTTTTTTGCCTTCTTCCCTTCTTTTCTTCATAGGTTCACTAGTTCTATTTACCTGATTCCTATTATTGCCATTTGTACATGTTGAATTCAATGTTGTTGTTGTTGTTTTATTGAATAATAGTAATAATAACAATAATAATAATAATCTTGACGATGGTATAACAATACCATAACCGTTAGGATAGAAATACTAATACAGGGAAAATAACCAAATATAGAATTGAAAGAAACATAGAGTAGTTTTCTCCCTTTCTAACATCAAAGTGACGAATAACAATAATAATAATAATAACCAAGCATAATATAACATAACATAGATATGAGAAAGATCAAGAGAGTAGAAGCAACAAGGAAAGCTTGAAAAGGGATGAACAAAGGGAGTTAATTAATGTAATCAATTATTGTAGAATTAAAAATAAATAAATAAACAATCAACCTTAACAACAACAACAACAACAACAAAAACAAAACAATATCAACTACGAAAATAAATTCGCTCATAAGCCAATGCAAACAATATATTAAATGATAGGTATTCATTAATTAAAAACAAACAAACATGATAATTGTACTATACTACTATATACTATGTATATCATTAATATTATTATAAACGATAATGACAATGACACAAAGTTAGATGATATCTCTTCTACCTGTTTGCTTCGTTGATTTTTTTTGTCTGTTATTCCAGTAAATGATTCTCATTGGCATTAAAACATAAATTATCATATGTATATAATATCAATTAATAACCCTAGTCGTAGTACAATTAATACTACTACTACTACTACTACTACTACTACTACTACTACTACTACTACTACTACTACTACTACTACTACTACTGATAATAATAATATGCATAGTACTCATTCATCACATTGACAATAGAACGCCTAATATATAAGGGAGAGAGAGAGAGAGAGAGAGAGAGAGGGAATATCAGATCAACATTAATTATACTTTATAAGCTGTATTACAATTCAACTACACTATCAAAATAGATATTAAGCCATAATTTAAACAGGAGAAAAAAAAGGAATTAAAAAAAACCCATCTATCTATCCATTCTACTCTACCATTATTTCTCTTTCTATACATATGTATACATGACTAAATCATTGTGTAACGGAGTCGTTTTAGACATGTGCAAATAAATAAATAAATAATAGAAGAACACAATATAGACTGCCGTATATCTCGCTCTTTCTCCAACTCCAATGTAAACAGATAAAAATAGACCCATAAAATAAAGATATATATATATAGAGAGAGATAAATAGATAAATGACCGAAGAGAGGGTGAGAGACAGAGAGAGAGAGAAAGGAAGAAAGGGGAAACAGATCGCAAAACATTAATAATAAGAGCCAAAATTAAATGGCAATATTTCTATGTAAGTCTTAATGTGTGTGTGTGTGTGTTTATGTATGTATGGATGTTTGGCTTTTGTTAATTATCTACATATCCATATGCATCTCATCTAGCATATTTATTGCTGATTAATGATGATAATGTTAATGACATTACTGGCCACATTTATCAACTACAAAAAAATGTCGAAATTATGATAATATTAGAAACCTCAGAATCATTATATCTTTTCTAGTATGAGACTGTAGAGATTATTAAATTTCATTGAAATCATGAACTGCATAAGGTTAT